CTCCAAGCGGGAGTCGAACTATGGCAGAGCAGCGTGTAAATTCGGCACATTAACCACGTTAAACGGTGTACCAAACTCACATATCTGATTTACATGTAGTCTCGAAAACCTACTCATTTACAAATAAATTTGCTCCGTCGACAATTCCACCACAGGATTGTGCTGTAGGAACGCCCTTGGTTTTCTTTAAATTCACTTCTGCTCTGTGACTTAAGGGCACTTTTGGCATTTTGGCGTAGTGGCTAACGTGTCAGGACTATACGCTGCATTACCATAACTCTGAATTGAGTCCAACTGGGATCGTTAATGCTACCGAAGCCAGCTCAAAATTGTAGTCCACTCCAGCTTGGATGACAATATCTTTTAAAAAGCAAGGCTATATGATATTCAATGGAAGCATGAAGCCTAATTCATACCAGTCCTGTATGATCTTAAGCTGAATATGGTTAATACATATCTTATTTCGTTTCGATGTGTTACAAGGCATAGGAACGGCCTGTTGTATGAATACAATCTCGAGATTGCACTAATTTTATGGTAACCTTGCAAAATAGAGGACATATTTCATCGCAGGTTAGGGCCTGAGATATATTGTGTCGACTTACTCGATGATCTGCTGCTGCTTGGCTTGTTTCACGTTGAACTCTACTGGTCTGATGAACTGAAGATCTGCTGTGTACAGAGGAACAGCTAAAAAAGAAATAATATACTCAACTTTGTAATACTTTTAGGAAATAGAAAATTCTTACTAGTTAGGTGCCAGTAAAGATAGAGTTTATTTAACGTATGATTGTCCATAACAGATTTAATGTAAAACGAAGTGATAATTACATTATATTTTGGAAAAACTTGCGTTCACATCGATATAGTCGTTTGAAGTATTTTGTGTGAAAGTTATTACTTCGTGTTCATTCCAATTCCTAGTATTGCCTAAGCTGCGGGCGTCTTCACCGTATTTCTATAACAAACTCTGGCTTACTTATAATAGAATGAAGCAACCCAAGGTGTATTTATCAAGGTGTAGTACCATTTCCCCTTTAACTGTATTATAATCTGTCCAGGGAGATGAGACTTTAAGGATATGGAAATCAAAGAAGGTGAAGATGTTTAATTTCACACTTAACACTACCTTCAACCAGAACCGTCGAACTGGAAGTGACCGTCTTTGAGAAGCGCCTTCCTGTCTTCGGTTCCACCACCTCCCCCGTAGCCACGCAGGTATACTGGCCAGAGTCTGGTTGGCTGGCCTTGCGGATAACGATACGAGCTACCCCGGTGTCCTCCAGATAAGTCATTTCGATCCGATCTGACTGGACTAATTCCCGATCACCCAGCATCCATGCCACCCGAATCGGTTGAATATCTGCCATAATCTGGGCTTCCATCCTAAGAGTGTTAAAAAAGAAAAGATGCAATTTATCATACTAGATCGTCCAGTTAAATTAATTAATTCCTAATTTTTTATTTATCCAGCAGCAGCAATCTATGCATTCATAATCAGTATACACATATTTAAACTCTTCTACAAACTAGCTGATAAAAAATATATCAAAAAGAGCTATTATCTGGGAAATGGATGCTATTTATACTCACTCAATGATTTGCTCCTCTTCCGCATAATTCCGTTTCACCTCGACTGGCTTTATGAAGAAGATGTCTGCCTCGTACAGTGGAGTAGCTATGTCAGGAAATGATGTAAATAGAATTATGTTACTATGGCGCCAAATGTAAACTTGAATTATGAACACCTTTTCAGTTAAAACATGTCGAATGGATTCCAAGTAAATGTATGATTCAAAGTTAGATAAAAACTAAAAGGACAGATACTCTCCTAGTATCAAAGATCAGTAGAGCAATTATGTTTTTGGCCTTTGACTATTCTAAATATTCTTACCCATATTTTTCATGTAAATTTGAAATCTTTAAGAAAATATACGTATTTTATAAAGAAAACTCTGAAATCCTTAAAATAAGCATGAGTTCAGCAGGACGTTTTTTGCTTACCCGATTTTTTCATGTTATCGAGTTTATATTGTGCGAAGAAACTAAACAATCGAGCATATATTCTGAGTAATTTTTCATTTTTCATTTGGTTTTCGATACTACTAGTGAATCATATATGAGAAATGTTCAACCTGTTTCGTTTACGGTGATAAAGAACTTTTGGGCAAATTTTACCTCAATGCTATGAGTAGACAATACGTTTCAATTTATGTTTGACTAATTTTGAGTCCCAAAACTATTCTCATCCCGGCTGGAATGGACTGCAGTTTCGAACACGTCTATGTTTCATTAGCACCCCCAGCGGAAGTCGAACCACGAAGATGCAGGGTATAATCTCGACACGTTAACCAGAGTTAATAGTTCTGCGAGTGTCCTTGGGTTACAGAGCAAATGTGAATTTCAAGGAAGGCCAGGCATTTTGCTATATATCATTTTTTGGTGGGATTGTCGATGAAGCAAAGTTATATTTACCATAGCAATCGAAAACATTACTTATTTTCCGTTGATAAGTAGTTTTCCGAGACTATCAATGAATGATATGTCTGAGATGTGTTCATCCCATGTGAAATTCAATGGAAACGTAAGGTCTACTCATAGCATTGTGAGAAAATTCACATACAAATTCTCTATTAAATTAAACGAAATAGGGTTAAAAGATTTCATATTATGTGGAGTACTTTTAGAGTCAAGGAGGTTGAGACAACTATCGACCATTGCACGGATAAATTTTTAAAAACGGGCTAATGCAGATAAAATCAGAAACCTTTATTTTCTTGATCCTCATGCTAAGATCAT